TTCTTTGTTCGTTTTCTTTTCACATTTCCCCGACTACATTAGTGTTGGGTCAGTGGTGGGTCATCTTCCCGACAACATCTGTGGTGGGTCATCTCCCCGACTACATTAGTGGTGGGTCAGTGGTGGGCCATCTCCCCGACTACATCAGTAGTGGGTCAGTGGTGGGTCATTTCCCCGACTACATCAGTGGTAGGTCATCTCTCCGACTACATCAGTGGTGGGTCAGTGGTGGGTCATCTGCCCGACTATATCTCTGGTGGGTCAGTGGTTTATAGTTATTTTAGTACGAAACCTCATGGATAGAGCTAGTAAATTGAACAGCTTTTAGAATTGTATTACAGCTAATGATGAGCAGTAGAACCACTTGTGTACAGCTTCAGTACAGGAACTTGTATCTTTGTACTGTCGCTTCAGTACAGGAACTTGTATCTTTGTACTGTCGCTTCAGTACAGGAACTTGTATCTTTGTACTGTCGCTTCAGTACAGGAACTTGTATCTTTGTACTGTCCTATTTTGTATAGCACCCTTCTTACTTTTGTTAGCAAACATACTATAAAATAAAATAATTATTCCTCTATTATTAATTATTACTTGACTCGTGGGCAAGCAACTGTGGATATGCGATATTAAATGGCGTCAGCAGATATCCTATTTGATATACCTTAATCCATTGCTTTACTGTAGATAAAAAAAAATGCAGAATGACATTACAAGTCATTGACATCTGAACCACTCTTAATACAATCATAATTTCTGCCTTGTGGATTCCAGTTTGAGATTCCTTGATTTCTAGAAACACATAAACAGCTGAGAATGTTTCAAGGATGTGAACTCTCCAACCACATATCTTATTTCATTTATTGTGTTGTTTGTGCAATTTTATGAGACTTTTCCGCCATTCCGGGAATGACGAAAGACACAACTGACAAACTTAACATATTTATGACCATTGTAGATTATGATAGGGTTAAAACTGATCCGGTTGACATTTTGAAAAAAACCCACACTAATTTAATTGTATCAGACACTAATTTAATTGTATCACACACTAATTTAATTGTATCAAACACTAATTTAATTGTATCACACACTAATTTAATTGTATCAAACACTAATGTAATTGTATCAAACACTAATTTAATTGTATCACACACTAATTTAATTGTATCAAACACTAATTTAATTGTATCAAACACTAATTTAATTGTATCAAACACTAATTTAATTGTATCAAACACTAATTTAATTGTATCAAACACTAATTTAATTGTATCAAACACTAATTTAATTGTATCAAACACTAATTTAATTGTATCAAACACTAATTTCTACCTTATCAAATACTATTTAGATCGCATTCAACTCAAATGATCAAGCAGTATATAATTCTCTATGCATGAAAGAAAATATGGTTCAACGGTGAGCTCCATAGCGTGCAAAATAAAAATTCCAGATGACTGCGCTAAATGAGATTCTTAAAAATAACGCAAGAGCGTTTTGTGCGTAATATTTTCTTTTGCTAAGTTTAATTTAATTTAAATATGATGTAATAAATCTGCGGGGGTGAAATCTGAAGGGACATTAGAATATTAATATAGAGTGAAAATCGTTAACACGAAACTGAGGTGACCGAAATATTTATTCGTCTTAAAAGAATTTCGTGTTAAACGATGCAGACACAAAAAATATATATATACTCAACAAAATTACATTTATTTGAGTACATCATAACAGATATACGATTTATAATTCAAAATATTATACATTTTGTGCATACATATATATAATGATAAATAATAATAAAGTTAGTTCATTTCAAAAACACGCTTCATCCCCAAAGGCTCGAAGCGCGGTACAAAGTCAACAAAAAACAAATCTATAATTTACCACATTTAAAACAAACGCAACACGACAAAAACTAAGTACAAGCATACAATGGCAAAGTCTTTCTAGCCATTTCAACCCTAAGCAACACAGCCAATATGCATTAACTGGAAAATAAGGTTGACAATCATCCCAGAAGGTGTTTGCGAAATAGATGTGTCTTTAAATCGGTTTTAAAGGACTCCAGTGTCTGGTTGTTTCTGAGATCGACAGGAAGGGCGTTCCAAAGTGTTGGACCAGCAAATGCGAAAGTGGGCTTTCCGTAAGTCTCAAGGTAAACACGCGGTGTCGAGAGTTTGCCACTATCGGATGAGCGGAGCTCTCTAGTGGGTACATAAGGCGTCAGCAGCTCTTTCAGATAGGACGGCGCCAGGCCATGTAAGCAGTGGTAGCACAAAGTTGCAATCTTGTACTCTATGCGAGCACGGACCGGCAGCCAATGCAACTCTCTCAGAAGTGTTTTAGCATGGTCGAACTTGCGTTTGCGGAGAACAATGCGAGCCGCATTATTCTGTGCTATTTGAACTTTATCCAGGATTGCAGTAGTCCATGCGTGATAGCACAAATGCAGACATCAGCCTCTTTGTTGCATCAATTGTTAAGCAGGGCCTGACGCAGAGGCGTAGCGAGGGGGGCAGGGGGGACAGATGTCCCCGGGCGCAAGCTAGCTACCGGCTCTCCCGATGGTGTTGGTGTTTCAAAGCTGAGTCAGCCTTCATTCACACGAGACACCACCACCGGCTCTCCCGATGGTGTTGGTGTTTCAAAGCTGAGTCAGCCTTCATTTGCACGAGACACCGCCTCCGGCTCTCCCGATGGTGTTGGTGTTTCAAAGCTGAGTCAGCCTTCATTCACACGAGACATCGCCACCGGCTCTCCCGATGGTGTTGGTGTTTCAAAGCTGAGTCAGCCTTCATTCACACGAGACATCGCCACCGGCTCTCCCGATGGTGTTGGTGTTTCAAAGCTGAGTCAGCCTTCATTCACACGAGACATCGCCACCGGCTCTCCCGATGGTGTTGGTGTTTCAAAGCTGAGTCAGCCTTCATTCACACGAGACATCGCCTCCGGCTCTCCCGATGGTGTTGGTGTTTCAAAGCTGAGTCAGCCTTCATTCACACGAGACATCGCCACCGGCTCTCCCGATGGTGTTGGTGTTTCAAAGCTGAGTCAGCCTTCATTCACACGAGACATCGCCACCGGCTCTCCCGATGGTGTTGGTGTTTCAAAGCTGAGTCAGCCTTCATTCACACGAGACACCGCCACCGGCTCTCCCGATGGTGTTGGTGTTTCAAAGCTGAGTCAGCCTTCATTCACACGAGACATCGCCACCGGCTCTCCCGATGGTGTTGGTGTTTCAAAGCTGAGTCAGCCTTCATTCACACGAGACACCGCCACCGGCTCTCCCGATGGTGTTGGTGTTTCAAAGCTGAGTCAGCCTTCATTCACACGAGACATCGCCACCGGCTCTCCCGATGGTGTTGGTGTTTCAAAGCTGAGTCAGCCTTCATTCACACGAGACACCGCCACCGGCTCTCCCGATGGTGTTGGTGTTTCAAAGCTGAGTCAGCCTTCATTCACACGAGACATCGCCACCGGCTCTCCCGATGGTGTTGGTGTTTCAAAGCTGAGTCAGCCTTCATTCACACGAGACATCGCCACCGGCTCTCCCGATGGTGTTGGTGTTTCAAAGCTGAGTCAGCCTTCATTCACACGAGACATCGCCACCGGCTCTCCCGATTGTGTTGGTGTTTCAAAGCTGAGTCAGCCTTCATTCACACGAGACACCGCCTCCGGCTCTCCCGATGGTGTTGGTGTTTCAAAGCTGAGTCAGCCTTCATTCACACGAGGCATCGCCTCTTTTTTTTTTTAAATTTCAGACCCCTCTACGTTCTCGCGGGAAGGTGTAGGCCTATGTCTGCCTGTGTCTGCCTAGGTCTTCCTATGTCTGCCTATGTCTATCTATGTCTGTCTATGTCTGCCTATGTCCGACTATGTATTTTGTTCATTCCGAGACGAGAAATCTTTTCGTGTTAAGCGACGTTTGTTTCGTGTTAAAAGAAACACAACATTTCTGAAAATACCGAGTACTCTTCCAGGAGCGCATTAGAATTTCGTGTTAACCGATTTTTCATGTTAAGCCGTTTTCGCGTTAAACGTATTTCACTGTAGCTCAGGGGCGTAAATACGTAAGCGGAAAAGAGAACTTCTGTTCCGATGTTGACAATACTGGTGTGGAAGAATATACGAACAGCACATGAAATCTGGAGAATTTTAAAATAAATGTTGTGTCGTCCCCCCCCCCCCAAACCTTAATTTAACCCGCCCGCGACCCTTCCAACGATTCTCTTGTGTTGATATTCTCCCAACACTTGACAATTTTAAAATAAATGTTGTGTCGCCCCCCCCCCCCCCAAACCTTAATTTAACCCGCCCGCGACCCTTCCAACGATTCTCTTGTGTTGATATTCTCCCAACACTTGACACGACCTTGACACGACCTTGACACGATCGACTTCAACTCTAGCTCCGTATTTTTGTTCTGTCCACTAAGTCTCTCTGTAATTTCAACTCCGGAGTGGCTCGGTTCGATGTTCCGAAGATGTTGCTGGAAAGAATGGTACAGCAACAACCTCACTAACAATTAACAATATAGAAAGAATGTTACAGCAAAAACATCATTAACAATTAACAATATAGAAAGAATGGTACAGCAACAACCTTACCAACAATTAACAATATAGAAAGAATGGACAGCAACAACCTCACCAACAATTAACAATATAGAAAGAATGGTACAGCAACAACCTCACCAACAATTAACAATATAGAAAGAATGGTACAGCAACAACCTCACCAACAATTAAAGGAATTGGTGTGTTGACTTCAGATTAATTTATACGACTACAAAGAAAATAAGTTTTATTTTAAACCACACGAGCCCCCACGCCCCCCTCCCCTTAAACACTATAAGTCAGCCCTGTAAGTCAGGCATGACTGCGGGGTCGGATACGGCATGTAAGCTACACCCGGATATCAAGCCTCGGTTTCGATACGAAGAGGAGTTCTTACGACATTTTACGCCGCCCCGTCTATTTTTAGAACGTGGGATTAACTGCGTCTGTGAACTGGAGGGTGACAATAAAAGGCCGAGAACTTTTGAGTGAAGCCAAGACTGCAACCAACTTGTGTCAACTTACGCAGGTGAGTTAGAGGAACTTTATTATTTTTTTTACCAAATTCACCTACAAGTTCACTGGTGCATGGGCCAGGTTTGACAACTCAATTTATGAAAGTTAATGAAAAATATTTGAAAGCTTCAACATCATACGGACATACCTATTTTTTACTGACAAATGTAAAACCACTTACAAACAATTTTTTTTTTCTTACTGGCATCCTAAAGTTTGTAATCCATTTATGCGCCAAATGTTTACGCACTGGCCGTAAATATGCGCTCGGTTGGCAACCCTGGAACTGACGCTCCACAATGTCCTAATTTTTAATGGCAGAACTAGATCAAAGTTAATGTCAGGCTGGCTATCTCGTTTTGGATTAATAAAATGGAAATTGTTTTGGATTGATCTAATAAAATGGAAATTGTTTTGGATTGATCTAATAACATGGAAATTGTTTTGGATTGATCTAATAACATGGAAATTGTTTTGGATTGATCTAATAACATGGAAATTGTTTTTGATTAACTTGCAGCCAGAGGTTGAGTCCTGCACGAACGTGTAGGTCGAGCCTTTATGTTTTTTCCTCCCTTCTAAGTGATAATTAAGGCCTTCGTATTTATTTTGGGATGCGGAATATTGGGTGCATTCCCTCCCTTCTTTACCAGGGCTCGACCCCTGATTGCATAAATACATTTTCAGTTATTAAATAAAAACGAACTAAATATTCTGATTAATTATTTATAATTTTTTTAATGACAATTTTAACATAAAGCCATTTTGAAAGTAATTTTCCTTGCTATTTATTTTTGTTTAAAGTCATCCTGTGTCGGCCCACCTCTCCATTCATCCTGTGTCGGCCCACCTCTCCATTCATCCTTTGTCGGCCCACCTCTCCATTCATCCTGTGTCGGCCAACCTCTCCATTCATCCTGTGTCGGCCCACCTCTCCATTCATCCTGTGTCGGCCCACCTCTCTATAATGTTAAGACTGACTTCAGAACAATTTTAACGCTATTGATCTAAGTCTCTAAGAAAGGTCTGCACAACATGCGGCCCGCCAGCACCCATTTGGCGGCCCACGAAGTAACACAATATTTTGTGTTATTATTATTTTCTTAATAGCTCCCCCCCCCCTGTCCTATCATCTTTCGGCCCGCACACGTTTTTCATGAAACATTACGGCCCGCCCTACATTTTGAGTTGTGCGGGTCTGCTCTAAGACATCAAAACAATGTTCTCCTTTAAATTGAATGCATATTCTTTAAAAAAAAAAGAAATATCTTAAATATTCCGAACCACTCCCCATTAAGTTTCATTGCGAATTTTCAGGATTAAATCATCCTGTACTGCATCCGCAACTTTATGTCATAACATTGTACAACAACAACAAATCATTTCACACAGGTAAGTTTCACCTGGCTGGAAATAGCTGGGGTTCATTGTGCCGTGGCCATACAATCAATGACATCCTGTACAGAACTCAAACCAGGACAAGTGCATGTCTTGTCTTACCATTGCTAAAAATAAACGATCACATAGTCGGGAAGCTATTTTCTAAATGACATATCTTGAATAAAACTTTTTTTTTTTTAAAATGTCTTAAAATCTAACAATAGCTTTTCTCAACGCTTGGATGGTTACAGAATTTAACTCTTTGTCGCCCGTGACGTCATTATCCGCCCTCTCTAAATTAGTTATCACCCCAATCAGTATACACCAGGGCCATACATTAGAAAGATTAAAGGCGTGTTCGCTCCGAAACAAACTTGTTCGATTGAGTTCAAGACATAGATTGCGTTATCAGATTATCATCATGGGCGTCCACACGTGTATTTGTTTGGTGTCTAGAAAAGACAGCGTCATTTTTAATTAATGCGAGCCCAAAAAAAATTTTTTTAAAGACATTATATTTGTAATATTGAATCTGTATAAGATTTTAAAAAATAATTTTGTTTAGTATAATTATAATTTTTTATTATTTTTTTTCTTCCAGAAAACCTGAAAATGTCGCCAAAGTTTTTAATATCCGCCATTATTGTGGGGCTTGTTGCTGCAGAATGGGTGGACAATGTGCCCAATAGATGCCCTCAACCTACGGATTCGAACCCAAACCCGCCGGCTTTCCTCTATGCCCATCCAGAGGACTGCCAACGTTTCATCACGTGTGCACACGGCCTTCCCACAGTGATGTCATGTGCACCTAAAACAAGGTTCAGTGACGTCTTTCAGACTTGTGTTGGGGAGGGAACCCATTACGACACTTGCACACGTGAGTTACGGCCTATGACTATTTATAACATTCATATTTTGGCCCCTTACTCACTTGATGAGTTGATAGTTTGAGGTATTGAGAATGCGTTTCTTATCGGAATGCAATAGAGATTACGAAAAGATGTTTTGATTCTATAGTTTGAGACTTGTGACTTGTTTATTTTACTCGTGAGGCGACCAATAAATGACTTTGATTAACGACAGTATCTTTGCCTTAAGTTGCCAATGCCATAGAATTTTATTCTCTCGACACATACAAAAATTCTCTGGACAGACACAGACATGTATTCATCTGTCAGTTTATTTTGTTAAAATGTGTGGAATGTGTATAACTTTTTTCTGACTCAGGGATTAATGACTAAATATCAACTTCTATTATTATCTCATTACTTGCAAGTTTTCATTGCGCCATAATCTCAATTCATAACTAATGTGCGCTCCAATAGTTTCCCGACTTATGAAAAACAAAAATAGTCACATGATCGCAAAATAATCACTGCTCTGATGTCCGGTAACAATACTCCACCGATAGACCAAATATCTTAATGACAGAATGTCTTTTGTTTACCACACAGGTGACAACGCAGTACGGGAATGCTCAAGGGGAGCTACTCTGATCGGCCATCCACAAATCTGTCAGAGATATTACAACTGCTCAGACACGGCTCAGAGACGTGAAAGGAGTTTTTTGGGGGCATATGAAGTCGAATGCACATACCCTGATCTCTTTGACATTGTGGAGAAGAGATGCAAACCGTTCAAGGAGGCTTATTGTGGTCCATACAGAGTGCCGGGTATCGGTCCTTGTAAGTTGGCAATTGTCATTAGATACATTTAATTTAACAAGAGTGACACGTTGCTTTTTTTAAACGTCAAGAAGTCAAGTCAATTTTTGATGTTTGAAGTGTTGCATCGTTTTTAATGATGCTTCTTCCCATCTCAGGTGATTATGTCAACAACCTGTGTGGCGGGGCCCACTGTGAACCCTGCGGTAGCCGGCTGAGCTCGTGTGTTGATCAACCCAACGGATTCAATGTAAGTTGACAGTGGATGAGATATTGTGACAGTTGATGAGATATTATGACAGTTAATGAGATGTTGTGACAGTTGTGTTCGAATCGTCACAACTAACTTCCGAGGAAGTGTTAGAATTGTCAGAACGAACTTCCTAGGCGAATTGTAGTTTTGTCACAACTAATATCGGAGGAAGATTGTAGTTTTATGTTTAGGACTAAAACTCAAGCTACCAAAATTGAACTAAAATTTTTTTGACAGTGACATCTCCTATTCATGTCCCAAAGTTTACTTACCATTTTAGAAATGTAACTTTCAGAAAAGAGTGTGACACTTTAGATGAAATGATTTAAATGTGTTTGCAAATTGTATTTTTGATGAGAAAACATCTTTAGAATTATGTAAAAATATACCTTATAAAAATGCCATTCAAATAAAGCATACAAATTTGGCAGTAAAAAAATGTTCACATTATTTTTCTAACACTCGAGAAAATTTCATCGGGCTAATGTTACTTCGAAATAAGTTTATTTATAGAAGTCTGCTGCTTTCAATAAACGAATGATTGTTAGATTTGGGATATTCTTTTCCAATTTAACCACTCCACAAATACTTTCCGTAAACTGTTACACAAGAAATGTTTTTTTTAATTTTAGGCCCATTCTGGACGCCAGTGGTCTCCGTATTACGTGAAATGTGACTCAGGAAGGACGGTGGAGTTTAACCTGTTTTGTCCCAAGCACTTTACTGGCACCCAGGCCATCTTCCACCCAATCAACAGAGAGTGCGTGTCACTATGGGAGATTCCAAGAAGTACCGGATTTGGACTCGCCCCAAGCTGTGATGGGAAAACCGACGGGAAGTATCGTGTCGAGGAGAGGGCTGATGTTTACTACAGCTGTCCAGGGGCGCAGGTGTCCTACTGCCGGAGTGGGTCCGCCTTTGATTTGATCAGTCAGCAGTGTACAGTCCAATGAGCCAAACCGTTGTAAATTTCCAACAAAAAAAATCCAGCCTTTGTGGACACTAGAAACTACATTAGGGTTGCCAGGTCTGCTTCCAAAAAATGGTGGACAAGCCCGGGGGGGGGGGGGGGGGGGGAAAAAAAAAAGGGGGGGGGGGTGAGGTTGAAAAAAAAAATTTTTTTTTTTTACAATTAAATTATAAGTTTTCTTACCAAAATTTTAAGTTAAAATTATTATTCTCTTAAACTGTACGGCTTTAGATTATGTACCACTTCAATTTCATCATAAAGCTTTTGAATTTAAAAAAATGTCCACTATTTGGTGAAAGAAAAATTGAACATAAAGTGAAAAATGCGGACAGTCCGCTCAAATAGTGGACACCTGGCAACCTTAAACTAGATGTTTTAAGAAAATCCATATTTTTTTGTATTTTTTATAATTTTGCTGTAGGGCAGTAAGTGGCGAAAACTATCTGGGGTGTGCAGATCCACAGATAATGTGAGATGTTGTTTTATGGTGATAAGATTGGTTGAATCCGAATAAGTTTGGTAGTTCACGGTCAATTATCTAAATTATAGAGATGAATGTTCTTGTATATTTTCCTTCATTAAATTATCACATCGACATTGTGCCCCAGAAGCTTATTAAGGACTCCCCCAAAAAACTGATGGATTGATGGGACAAAACATATTTGAGCAAGTGGCTCTCAACTAAAACTATTTCGGACCATCAAAATTCCTCAGTGACATCCAACATCTATTAAAGTCACATCCAACATCTATTAAAGTCACATCCGACATCTATCAAGTCCCTTCATTGCTCATACTGCTCAACATTGTGATATTGTTTTAGCATTATTTATTGTATTTATTTGAAAATAAACATTGATCAGATGAGATAATTGGTTTGTCTATTGAATGCCTGCGTATTGTCTCCCTCCATTTATTTAATGATGTTTCACACAAAGGTGTAATCTAGAATAAAAATTTTGACTTTGTGTCAAACCCGACTTCACTCTCACCCACAACGAGCTGGTAGCTAGTCCCGTCGGTATCGTTGGATTGTGCAGAAATCTTCAACTGAATTCTTTCAAGAAACTTCACTTCGAAGAGTGTTTGCAAATTATAAGCATGACGCTAGTTAACGATCTCGTACTGTTATTTTTGTTTCAATGGTACTCTCTAACAAACCAACGTGCCCAACAGTTGTTCTCATGTTGCAAATTAAAGACATGAAGTTTTAATATATATATATATATATATATATNTATATATATATATATATATATATATATATATATATATAAGAAATTGCAAATAGGTCTCGATTTAATCATGAGAGCACTGATACTGATACATGAGAACTTGCACATATATTACTGATATCTGGGCGTAGGGAGAAGGTGGTTGGAGGGGGGTGTAGGCCCCGGGTGCCAATTATTTTTGCGCCACCATCGTTGGTCCACTTCTTACATTGTAGAGCTCATGTTCTATGTTTATTTTGACATGCGTTATGGTTTTCGACAATTAGTGGCGGCAAATTCATGGACCGTCCGCTCTTTCGTGTAAGCACTGATAGGTAATCACTGATATGTAAGCTTTGATAAGTAAATCACTGATATGTAAGCTTTGATAAGTAAATCACTGAAGTGTAAGCTTTGACAAGTAATCACTGATATATAAGGCCTGATATGTAAGCCCTGATATGTACGGAATAAGTACTAGTATGACAGAAGTAACTTCAACCACTGTTGGGGGGGGGGGGGGGACCGCCCCCATAGTCAAGATTCCTCTTAATTGCTATTATTAAACTCTCGTTCTAAAAGGACAAGGTCACATGACCAATATAAGTGATGGTCAGTCGTTTGGTTGAACTATGGCACTGTGTTAGGCACACACATAGAATACTGTTCTGAATATCGTCCTCGCCCCATCATGACATGTCCTTACAAGCCTTGTTACCGGTACCGCGAATGTGAACAATTCAATGCTAAATATAGAATATCCGGTAAGAAGCTTTCGTTATTTTTTTGTCAAAGTGCAATAACTCTAAAAATATGTATATCCGGGGTTATCCCCCTGTCACGACGATTTTTTAACTCAACGACCATGTTAAATCTTATTTTTTTCACAATCATTTGATACCAGCAGTGAATACAAGTTTCAAACTGTTCCATTCAAAGTAAGCTGATTACCTTTCATTTGTTGTCCTTCTGATCCGCTAGCGACAGCTTTATGTACCCCAGTGAACGTTGTCACAGTGTATACACTTCCAAGAATTTAAGAATTCTGAGAAATCCTAACTTGGACTTAAACCATTGAAATGTTATTACTATTGTAATAATAACATCCGTGTTGTCCAGGTGGTCTCAAACATGCCCTCACCACCACATGTTATATACTCTACATCCCAAAACTAATATTATTCACACCACCAGGGGGCGTGCCGATGAAAATCTGCGCTCGCGGCGAAGCCCGAAAATGACGCCCCCTCTATCCATAGTAAAAAAAGTGTAAATCGGGGCGAACCAGTAAAAAGATGTTGGCGCCCCTTTCCTTTGTGAAGCACATGGGATCTCATCGTTGCATTGACTGTTTAGATCATATCTAGAGACGATTTCGGTGCCCCCTGATGTTGGCGCCCGAGACGTGTCCTCTTCGCACGGTCCAGCACACCATCACACTCCACACTACCAGGCGTCCTCAAACTTGCACACACCCCCACAATGTGTGTTCTCCATATTTCCTTCAAACCCAACCAACTAGTAGTAACTAGTAGGTCTCACGAAGCAACTAACTTGCAACTAGAGCTTACGACTCAGTTTCAACTAAAACTAGTCCGTTTAATTAGGTAGAATTGGTTGCTAATGTTTGGTAAGTTATGCATATTGATAAGTTGTGCATATTGATAAGCTGTGCATATTGATAAGATGTGCGTATTGATCAGTTGTCCATATTGATAATTAGCGCATATTGATAAGTAGCGCATATTGATAAGTTGTGCATATTGATACGATGTGCATATTGATAAGTAGCGCATATTGATAACTTGTGCATATTGATACGTTGTGCATATTGATTAGTTTTGCATATTGATAAGTAGCGCATATTGATAAGTTGTGCATATTGATAAGTTATGCATATTGATAAGTTGTGCATATTGATAAGCTGTGCATATTGATATTTTGTCCATATTGATAAGTAGCGCATATTGATAAGTAGCGCATATTGATAAGTTGTGCATATTGATACGATGTGCATATTGATAAGTAGCGCATATTGATAAGTAGCGCATATTGATAAGTTGTGCATATTGATACGATGTGCATATTGATAAGTTATGCATATTGATAAGTTGTGCATATTGATAAGTTGTGCATATTGATTAGTTGTGCATATTGATAAGATGTGCATATTGATAAGTAGTGCATATTGATAAGTAGTGCATATTGATAAGTAGCGCATATTGATAAGTTGTGCATATTGATAAGTTTTGCATATTGATAAGTTGTGTACATTGATACCATGTGCATATTGATATTTCCGTTTGACATTTATCATATCCCATCCTATGTCATAAATCTCTGCACATCTTTTCCGACATCATTGATGAATACTCCTACCTCCCCTTTTAGTTACAGAATTTGTCCTTTTAGAATTTCGTTCAACAGAGTTATAATTATTATAACGGTGATCAAATCTTAAGGAAAAATGAAAGAAAAAAACAAATAACAATAACCATTATTTGCTTTTGTTATGCCTAAAATGACTAAAAATAGACTCCACCCCCCAATATAAAATCCATAAATTGTACGAGTGCATTGCGACGAGAGATCCAGGAAGAAACGTTCAACCAGAAATCCTTTGGCCCACCCTCTCACCATGATTTCTGACAACGGCCACGTTAATGAGCTCGTGCTGACGTCACACAAAGCATGTCTACCTTGTTTACCCTACAACTTGCGTCTGACGTACGTTAGTGAGTGGGCCCCAATCTGGGACATGGGGGATTTTTTTTACTCGGTATGGATGGGGATAAAGGAAGCCACTCAGTTAACACGTTGAAACAGTCAAAGCACAACCTGCGGTTAGAGACGTGGAGACATTGAGAAAGACGGGAAGTGGTGTAGGTCTATACGTTTATTTGGTGTGTGACAATGACTGGTTCAAGTTAAAGGTCTGAAGCAAAGGAACACGTAGAGGGTGGTTTCATTTTAATCATTTTATCAATCTATTTCCACACGCAACCCAAGATTTGGTGACGTCATTTACCGGTCTTGAAGACATCCCGGATTTAACGTGTTCGCAGGACTGGTATTAACTTAGGGCATTCTAACGTTAGATGAGACCTATGGCATTCCCTGTAGGGACCCAAACCACTGTTTAAACGGGCTTATGACAAGGGAATCTTTGTCTTTTTCATCAGTGACTTTAAAGAGGAGACATCGTGATGGCCTGGTTGAGAGTGATTGTACCGGTACTCATTGTGCTTGTGGGAAACACCACTTCACAGACTACTGTGCCAAGTAAGTTAACATTTTATTGTGCTATATTAACTATATTATATGTAAATGCCAGTTATGAATTTATTTTAAACCCATTGTTACGGATATCACTGTTGTAATTGTACTCAGCAATCTAATACAATAGTTTATTTTACTGTTGAACTTTTCAACCAATTTTATTGTTAGAATTTGAATACCATGCATATAAAATAGCGTAGATGTTAAAACATTATGAATTATTTTGGATAATAATTTGTGGCGTTACTCCATCATAAGCTATGTCGAGCGAAACCAACTTTCCAATGTTGCCAGATTGAACTATAATGTTTGATTCCATCATGAGTTATGTCGAGCTAAACCACATTTCACTGTTGCTCGATGAAGCTATTATTAACTATTATATATAATATGTAAGGTCCTGGCAGGGAAGTAACTCAAAAACTGTTAACCCATGGGTCATTCATCACACACACGTCTCTTGTCAGTAGAGTAATGCAAGAAAATGGCGTTAGTTGGGCATGGGACACTTGTGCTCTCATTCAACTGATTTTATTAAATTTTAGCATTGAACATAAATAATAATTTTTTAAAATACATATTATATTAAACCAGACAAGCGTGTTCTTCACTAAAACAACACATTAGCAGACGGAAACCAACTACCAGACGGCAACAAACGACCAGACGGCAACAAACGACCAGACGGCAACAAACGACCAGACGGCAACAAACGACCAGATGGCAACAAACGACCAGACGGCAACAAACGACCAGACGGCAACAAAGGACCAGACAGCAACAAACGACCAGACGGCAACAAACTACCAGACGGAAACAAAGGACCAGACGACAACAAACTACCAGACGGCAACAAATGACCAACTATATATTTTGTACCTAAAATTTATTCGTATTAGCATGTAAACCTCATATTTAGAATCAAGTAGACGATCTTTTCTAATTCTAATTCTATCCATAATATAATCTTACATTCAGTTCTAAAGGATTTCAACACTCTTCACACTCAATAAAATTCCAATCCTTACTCATTCATAAAAATATTGATGTATTGGTATTTATTATCCGACCACAAGTTTCATTTGTTAAAGGGTAAAATGTGTTGAATTAGCCTCAATGTCAAGGCCGTTGAGTGGATACTTATTACAAGAGTCTTAGGTGTTAAGACCACAAAGAAAACAGCACAACATTCAGCACACTGACCCTGTCGCTTGGACGCTGGATCCTCTATGTAGACCTAGCATGATACAGGTCCGGGTCATCCACCGACATGTAGGGAAGTCATGCCAAAGCCTATCACTTATAGACAACCAGAGTCCAGAGGCGTAGCGAGGGTGTTTGGCGCCCGGGGACAAGATCCATTTTAAAGCGCCCCCTTTTCTTTTTTTCAACTCTCAAACCCATTATTTTTACCAATAAAATAATATCAAAGAACATTTTGGCGCCCCTAACTAGCTTGCGCCCGGGGACAACTGTCCCCCCGCCCCCCCCCTCGCTACGCCTCTGCCAGAGTCAACGAACTTTCTATTTACTTCTAGTTGGTCTCCTCCATTCATTACCACAAAATTATTTTTTCTTCGATTTTCTTTAGAAGATTACGGCAATAAAGTATGTCCAGGTGCAGCTACTCTGATTCCCCATCCGCAAGTCTGCCAGAGATATTTCAACTGCTCCGACACAACAAGACGACCAGATAGAAGTTTCTTTGGACCTTTCGAACTCGAATGTCCATATCCCCAGTTGTTTGACAAGGCGGAGCTGAGATGCAAGTCTTTCAAAAGTGCCAAATGTGGGGCCAATAGAAAAGCTGGCAAAGATGCTTGTAAGTGGCTTGAGATCGTTTTGTTAATACAACTGGCGTGGCTTTATGAAGACATTTTTATAGAAAATAACTCAATATGGAGGGTTTTCCTATTGGAAGTTCTCGTTTTTATGATTATAAATTTACAAATAATAAATATACTTAAAAATGGAAGACAGTGGTTTTTCAACCTGGAAGTAAATTTGTTGTGCAACATTTCAGGTGATTACTTTGCAAATCTCTGTGGAAGTGCCCATTGCCAGGAATGTAGCAGCAGAATGCCCTCCTGTGTTGGACTCAAGAATGGCAAGAATGTAAGTAGGCCGACTAAGGCACATGTTGCTAAAGTGGTTTGTACTGGACCCCCCTGGGGTTGGCAGTGTTACTGACCCCCTGGGTTTGGCAGTGGGACTGACACACTGTGGTTGGTACCGGTACACACACCCTGGGGTTGCACTATACTGACCTCCTGTTGCTGTGACAGGCATGGGATGTTCCAGTCTACACACATAATAAACCACAGCAACTTTTATTTCCAACATCTGCTATCCTCTTGCTTTCTTTGGTCCTTACGTGAAAACGTCTGCTATCCTCTTCCTTTCTTTGGTCCTTACATGAAACGTCTGCTATCCTCTTCCTTTCTTTGGTCCTTACATGAAACGTCTGCTATCCTCTTCCTTTCTTTGGTCCTTACATGAAAACGTCTGCTATCCTCTTCCTTTCTTTGGTCCTTACATGAAACGTCTGCTATCCTCTTCCTTTCTTTGGTCCTTACGTGAAAACGTCTGCAATCCTCTTCCTTTCTTTGGTCCTTACATGAAAACGTCTGCTATCCTCTTCCTTTCTTTGGTCCTTACATGAAAACGTCTGCTATCCTCTTCCTTTCTTTGGTCCTTACATGAAAACGTCTGCTATCCTCTTCCTTTCTTTGGTCCTTACGTGAAAACGTCTGCTATCCTCTTCCTTTCTTTGGTCCTTACATGAAAACGTCTGCTATCCTCTCCCTTTCTTTGGTCCTTACATGAAACGTCTGCTATCCTCTTCCTTTCTTTGGTCCTTACATGAAAACGTCTGCTATCCTCTTCCTTTCTTTGGTCCTTACATGAAAACGTCTGCTATCCTCTTCCTTTCTTTGGTCCTTACATAAAAAACGTCTGCTATCCTCTTCCTTTCTTTGGTCCTTACATAAAAAACGTCTGCTATCCTTTACCTTTCTTTGGTCCTTACATGAAAACGTCTGCTATCCTCTTCCTTTCTTTGGTTCTTACGTGAAAACGTCTGCTATCCTCTTCCTTTCTTTGGTCCTTACATGAAAACGTCTGCTATCCTCTTCCTTTCTTTGGTCCTTACGTGAAAACGTCTGCTATCCTCTTCCTTTCTTTGGTCCTTACATGAAAACGTCTGCTATCCTCTTCCTTTCTTTGGTCCTTACATGAAAACGTCTGCTATCCTCTTCCTTTCTTTGGTCCTTACATGAAAACGTCTGCTATCCTCTTCCTTTCTTTGGTCCTTACATGAAAACGTCTGCTATCCTCTTCCTTTCTTTGGTCCTTACATGAAACGTCTGCTATCCTCTTCCTTTCTTTGGTCATTACATGAAAACGTCTGCAACAAACGTTCCGTCTCACTGACACCGTCCTAAGATGGTTCCGGTCGTATCGGACACATCGGGTCAAACGGCTTGACCTCGAAGAAATCTAATATCGAATTCGGAGTAATAATACTAAGAATAAGGGGTCTTATATAGCGCGGTACCCCAGCCTAGGGCTGGGCTCACCGCGCTGTACATAAAAATATCAAAAGAGACATAATCGTGACATTAAAATAAAATACATTTATGAAATAAAGAACAGCACACAAAAAATATGTACATACAGCCCCTGGGTGCAGTGATCAAGCAGTTTGTTATGCAAAACCACATGTCCGCGGACGACACCCAACTTCATCAATCCGTGATCCCCTCTCAGTTCCCTCAGCTGCTCAGTACGACACAGAAGACAGTGGAGTCAGTTAAGCTCTGGATCAGCGGTTCTCAACCTGTGGGTCGCGACCCCTTTGGGGGTCGAATGAACCTTTTCCAGGGGTCGCCAAGGACCATCGGAAAATACATATGAAGGGTTCAAGGGAAAAACTAGTGATGTCAGTTTTTCAAAATTCCCATGTTATCTCCCTTGTGGCTACATTCCGTTTAATAGAATAATATGATACATAGGTCCAACTGAAAAAGCAGCGTAGTCAATAAATAAATACGTAGACATCTTGATATTTTCATACTTTTATGAGGAATTTTCAAACTTAAAATTCAATTTTCTCAAAACTCTCGAAACCTGACATCACTGGTTTTTTCCCTTGAGCCCTTCATATGCTCTACAGTTATGACGAAGTAACGAAAAATAATTTTGTGGTTGGGGGTCGCCACAACATCAGGAATTGTATTTAAGGGTATTGCATTAGGAAGGTTGAGAACCACTGCTCTGGATGATCATAAACAAGCTCAAATTGAATGATGAAAAGACTGAGGTGATCCCCATCGCGACCGCTCAGAAGCAAAAATCTGCAAATAACACGACATCAATTACTCTCTCAGGTGTGCATATTGAGTTAGCTCAAACAGTGAGGTACCTGGTTTTCTACCTAGATAGAAGACTAACTTTTGAAAGTCACATTAACATGCTATGCAAGGCGATTTTTCTGGAGCTGCGCAGGATTAGTCACATCAGGCCCTTCTTAACAATTGATGCAACAAAGAGGTTGATGTCTGCATTTGTGCTATCACGCATGGACTACTGCAATGCTCTCATGGTGGGTCTTCCAGCTACGCTCCAGGATAAACTTCAAATAGCATAGAAAATGCGGCGCGCATTGTTCTTCGCAAACGCAAGTTCGACCATGCAAAAACACTTCTGAGAGAGTTGCACTGGCTGGCGGTCCGTGCTCGCATAGAGTACAAAATCGCAACGTTGTGCTACCGCTGCTTACATGACCTGGCGCCGTCCTATCTGAAAGAGCTGCTGACGCCTTATGTACCCACTAGACAACTCCGCTCATCCGAAAGTGGCAAACTCTCAACACCACGTGTTCGCGTTGAGACTTATGGAAAGCGCACTTTCGCATTTGCTGGTCCAACAATTTGGAATGCCCTTCCTGTCGATCTCAGAAACAACCAGACACTGGAGTCCTTTAAAACCGATTTAAAGACACATCTATTTCGCAAACACCTTCTGGGATGATTGTCTACCATATTTCCCAGTTGATGCATATTGGCTGTGTTGCATAGGGTTGAAATGGCTAGAAGACTTTGTCATTGTATGCTTGTACTTAGTTTTTGTAGTGTTGCGTTTGTTTTAAATGTGGTAAATTATAGATTTGTTTTTTGTTGACTTTGTACCGCGCTTCGAGCCTTTGGGGATGAAGCTTGTTTTTTTTTAATAAACTTTATTATTATTATATGACTGTTATATGACTGTTACATGACTGTTATATGACTGTTATATGATTGTGGCTTTTAGATTCCCACAATCTTGCGAATCCCACAACTGTTCAATGAACTCTAACTTGTCGGATATCATATCTAAAAGTGATTTCCAGGGCTTACATTTTTATAAATGTCCTGAACAAGTCAATCTATTTTTTCCACACCAGGTGCATCCCAACAGGGAATGGACCCCATACTATATCGTCTGTGACAGTGACAGACTGACGGAATCTCAGACGTGTGACAGGCATAAGCCTACCAACACCACTGGCTTCTTTTCCCCATTGACGAAATCTTGCGTCTCCATTTGGGAGGTTCCACAAAGCACAGGTTACGGATTGGCTCCTAGCTGCACAGGGAAAGAGAAAGGATCCTACCTGTCCACTGAAAGGTCAGATGTATACTACAGATGTCCTAAAGAAAAAGTCCTCTATTGTCCAGCTGGTCAAAATTTCAATACAGCTCAAGAAAAGTGCCTTTGATTTTATTTAAACAACTCTTATCTAATCTATTCATAATATTTCCTAGCCTGGGATTTTCATTTTAAAAATATGTTTCTGTGCTGATAGTAATATTAATCCAATAGAGTAGGAGATGGTAAAATGATTGATGTGAAATAAAACTTAGTGCTATTCCTGAAACTATTCAAAAGACAGCAATGTCTCTATGCATCCCAATCCCACTAGCATGAACATTTCTTATCCCACTCAAATGTTTAGGGACATGGGAATTGAATCCTTACTGAATTGGGGGAGGAGAGCAATTTTGTAATATTTATTTTTGAAATTTTAAATTATTTCAATTTCTGTGAGTCAGGTAATTCAACTCGGGTATGTAATTTGTAAATGAAACTTGTGTAATTAAAAATCTCTTGACTTCCAACTTGTTCAAGTGTGTTCATTTTCACGATAATTTTAACCTATACCAATAAAAATAAAAATAATGATCTATCTCATTCTAATTCATAACAATATTTTAAAATAAAAAAATCTTATTGCAAATAACAATTATATTTTAATTTTAAGGATACCGAGACCCTTCATTGTTATTGTACATCATAGACCAAAGATTGAAAATGTTGTCAAATATAATCAACAAATCAAGGACCAACACCCTATTTATCATAAATAATAAATAAAATAAGTCACACAATCTTAACGAATGAATATGTCACACAATCTTACAGAATGAATGTCACACAATCTTACATAATGAAATGTCATGCAATCTTACAGAATGAATGTGTCATGCAATCTTATATAATGAACATGTCATGCAATCTTAAAGAATGAATATTGCACATATTCTTACATAATGAATATGTAACACAATCTTACAGAATGAATATGCCACACAATCTTACAGAATGAATTATTAAATAAAAGTGTCAAAAAGACAAAATGTTTTGAAAAAAAAAAAAACATTTTCAGTTTTGACATGGTTATGAGTGGTTAAAAAAAAGTTTTGAGAAGATAAATTATGTATGAATTTATTCTTTTAAGGTAAAATAGTAAGAGACATTTAATATTTGTTTATGAGAACCAAATAAAAATTCAATCACTACAAAATAACTATTGAACCAAAACTTAACCATTATTTCACCAAAAGAAAATAACTATTTAACCCAACAGAAAATAACTAATATTTAACCCAACAGAAAATAACTACTATTTAACCCAACAGAAAATAACTACTATTTAAACCAACAGAAAATAACTACCATTTAACCCAACAGAAAATAACTACTATTTAACCCATCAGAAAATAACTACCATTTAACCCAACAGAAAATAACTACTATTTAACCCATCAGAAAATAACTACTATTTAACCCAACAGAAAATAACTACTATTTAACCCATCAGAAAATAACTACTATTTAACCTAACAGAAAATAACTACTATTTAACCCATCAGAAAATAACTACTATTTAACCCAACAGAAAATAACTACTATTTAACCCATCAGAAAATAACTACTATTTAACCTAACAGAAAATAACTACTATTTAACCCAACAGAAAATCACTACTATTTAACCTAACAGAAAATAACTACTATTTAACCTAACAGAAAATAACTACTATTTAACCCATCAGAAAATAACAACTGCTTAAATGAATGCAAAATTATTCTGCAGTGCAACAATTGGAAGCCTACTTAATTTCAGTATTACCTCCTGGTGTGGGAATTCATCGTCTGATATTAAACACCGAATAAACAGACTAATCAAGAAAGCTAGGAACATAACACAAATAAAACATCCTTCACTTGAAGAACTATTTGAAGAAAGATTTTATAGTAAAACTTAACACATTTGGATGATAGATCCCACCCTCTTCATCACAGATACTTAGGATCAGCCCGTTTGGGACGAATTCTTTCTCTCAGGGCGAGGACTGAAAGATATAAAAATTTGTTTGTTCCCCAATCTGTACAAATTTACCAGCGTGCTCCCCCAGAAGTCCCAAATCTAAATGAGAACTAATAAGTCCATGTTACGACTAAGGGAGCTCACTGAATGGCTGGTTTTCTTTTTTCACTCGTGAAATAATTTAATGAAGATGTCGTGTGTTCAAATTGTTTTAGTTGAAAAATGTGGACTTTATAAAAATATCTATTTATCTATGTCCTGAAAATGTACAATGCAATCAAAACACATTTCCATTGGTTTGGATCAATAAAAGAATGTTATCTTACCTTAAAATTAAAGAGAAAGGAAATCACAACTCAACTGAATCTATTTAGTAAAAAAAGAATCCAAAAAAAGAAAAAAAAAAGCTGAATAAAAGAGAGCCTTCAATTTCAATAAATGTCCAAAGCAGTTTTATAATTTTAGAACCGACAAGGTCTTTTACTTTAAAGTACATAAACTTTCTTGTATGAGTAAAGTCACTTACAATCAAATAAATCTTCAACCAGATTGCTGAGTCTGAATTTAAATTGTTTTTCCTCAACCTGCTATATCTCACCTGGGAATCCAGAGAAAGACATATCCCAGGGTTTTAAATAAATTATTCAAAAGGTCTTAGATATACAAATTTTGAATTTGATTAATAACTTGCCAAATTTTTCTCAGATTAGTACATTCGTTATCAGCTATTATCTCAAAAACTAGTACAATGGTAAAAATAATATTTTAAAATAAGATGGTTGAAAATTTGTACAATTTGTAAGGTAAATATACTCACACAAACTGTCTTCAAGTCATTAACCTGATCAACCCTTGAAAAACTAACAGCATAAGCAATCATCCATTTAAATACTTGATCTGATCAACCCTTGTAACAATAACAGCATAAGTAATCATCCATTTAAATACTTGATCTGATCAACCCTTGAAACACTAACAGCATAAGTAATCATCCATTTAAATACTTGATCTGATCAAACACCTCAAGTGGCCACATTGTCTCCGCCTGCACATCATCGCTCAGGTCTTGAAGTTTGATGGGTTTTATCACTGGATGTGGGCCTCCGCTTTGCAAGGCCCCCACTGCCATGACATACATCCCTGCAGAAAGTACATCTGCCACATTGGAAATCCTATCCACACTAACATTTATCAAATGCTAACTGATTTTTAAGTTACTTTTCTAAGGTTGTGGTCAACTGACTTGCCTCTGTGACCTTATTTAACAAATACGAATCAAGTGTTTAAGATAGAAATCTGTTGGGCCAAGTTAAACAAAATAGCATAAGATCATAGTGAGAGGTGAGGAAAGGGAAGTAACACCAGGATAAATACTGATTTAAGATGTTCAAACCAAAGGCAAGAATAGTCAACATTCCAGTTACAAAAAATGTTGATGTCTATATTTTATAATTTCCTGGAAAAATTCACATACTATCTGTTTCATTTATTTATCTTTGAATAATGTAAAAATATATCATTGATCATAGACTCATTATAATGGGATATTATCATTATTACAGCCACTTGCAAAAGGAAAGGTGTCACTTCAGTTGTGTTATTTAATTATGAATAAACATTGCATGGGAATAAGAAGGAATAAATTAACCTATCCCTCTTTTATTTTACTGCCCTCACTTAAGACTTACCCTTTTTGATGGCAATCTTTGAAGCTATGCTATCACAGTTAGGCAGAACAATAATGCCTGTACCATCATCAATTAATGCTGTGCTTCCTGGGTTCTGAAACTTAAAAAAATAGTAAACAAAATTAATGAGACATAATTTTAAAATTGGGGAAGGAAGTGGTCATTAATATATTTAAGCAATCATAAAGTTATAAGTGAAAGATATAAATAGATATATATACACACATATATTTTATATATATAGCATGCTATGAATTTAGTGATTTGTACCCTCAATGTACAGTGAAAAATCAACCGACTACTAATATCCCCTATGTAACAATATATGTCTCTAATTTTAAGGTTTAATAGCACACAAAATAAAAATCTCGCTAACTGAGCGAAATGAGATTCTTAAAAATAACGAAAGTGCATTAGGTATAAAATATTTTCTTTTGTTTTACAGAAATAGCCTCAATTAACATATGATTTAAAAAATCTATGGTGTAAAAGGGGGTGGGACATTAGAATATTAATATATTTTGTGGTGCAGGGGAGCATTAAATGGGAATGTTATTAAGTGCGTTACTTGAATGTGTGTTTACTAACTTTACTAAATGGAAAGTTCATGTATTGCGGCCACCATTGTTTGGTGGGCTTTAGCTTATTAAGTAATTTAGTACAATATTGTTATTTTTCTCCCATTAAGGATCCCTAGGCTTATTTGGAAACAGGGCAAATTTATATAGAAAAAAGCAATCAGGAATGATGATGGATTTCACACTCAGTCTGGCAGAACTTTTGCTTGCCTGGCATGGTGGACATGTCCGTAACAGTTTTATAAGGCTACTCTTAATCACAAGGACTCAAGCACAGCTAAAACCCATATGCTCATCGTCACCTGCATTATCAGTTATAAGTTGGCAACAACAGTTGGGGCAGTCAAAGCTCTTATACAGGCCTAGCTATGTGACACCACTTGCCAACTTCAGCAAACCTAATATGGCATAACTTATGCACTGAGGGGAATTGTCATCCTTTGATCACATGATCCAGAGTTATTCTCTGCCCGTTGCCACCACCTAATGTCTTCTGGCTCTCCACCGATGGTTAGGCTTTGGCCATTGAGTTGTGAGATGGAGCATTGTATGTCCTTGGTTAGGTACTCATTGGTAGTGTGTGTGCGAGGACTTTTAGGATCACTAGAAACAACACAAAGTCCAGAGATGTGCTGTGATTCACATGACTGGCAAGGGAACAAAAGAAAATAGGATAAGAATAGAAAATATGTCTATTCAAGGAAGAGTAGGTACAGGGTTAGTGTGACATGTTTAATTTTAACAAAGGCTCAGTCTCCTATTGTGGATTCAGTCATACAACTCCATGTTCATTTGCTCCTGTGATGAAGCTTTTGAAAATGGGGAAAATGTTCTTTGGAACAGTCATTATTAATTTATGAAGGGAATAAGTGTTTTAAATGATCTTACGTTCACAACAATGCCTTGAATCCAAACTGATGGTGACACTGGAAAACTCTTTTTACGCAACTGACACTCCCATGTAATATTACTGGCACTACTCATATTAACTTCACCAGAAGTTGCATTTCTGACATCAACACAGTGCTGTAGATGAACAGCTAGTATTTTGTTGGAGGGTAGCTTCAACAGACTCATTTATTTTTTATGTAACTCAGAACCTGTGATTAGAAATGTGTAGTTATTCGATGAACAAATTAATCTGATAGATAATAACATAACTGTCATAAATTGATGTTGGGCTTAGCAGACATTACTGCATTAACCCTGATTGATCCAATTTGAAATACTCCTTTATCAGCCTAACCCTAATAATAGTAAAGACTTGCTAAATAAATCAAATTCTCAGTAAATCAGAAATAGAAAATGTATTTCTGTTTTGATGGCATCACAAACTGACCTTGACAAAGACATGAAATCTGACACAGCCACCTATAAGACTACCAAGGTTATCTAAGTTAGTTCTAAGTCGGACCTAGTCATTTACAAAATAATAAATAAAATTAATAATCATTTAATTTAAACTAGTAAAAATACATCGCTGGCCCTAACTTATAGTATTAATATAGGCCTACTAACTAGCACATACCCTTATATAAGAAAGTAATATAATCTTTTCTTTGTTTGATTCTTAGCAACCAACGTTATTGTCATTGATTTAGAAATCAAAATTGGAATAGTCTAAATAGTGATTAAATTAATTTTAATAATACACAATAAGAGTAGGTACTTCGGTAAAATTTTCAAAATGAAGTTATAGCTTTAAGAGCTAGTTGGTTAGATAGGACCTGAAAAATGCAATTCAATGATACAAATTTATGTTTTTAGGTCGATTCTAAAGAAAGTTATGATGTTTTCGTGAATTATTTTGGGATAACTCTGTTAATATAGACATATAGGAAAATATAACAGTGACTAAAATAAAAACTGGGCAGTGATTTGAGATAGATTTAAAAAAAGAGCAGTCAATTGAAGTTATTTAATGAATCATTTAAGAAAACCACAACAAACCATATATTTCCGTGATCGGCATAACATTATCCAAACAAACGTCATATAATAAATTGTGTGCTACGTATGATGTGCTCATTAATATTCAAAATGGCCGCCAAATTTGCATTTGCGATATTGAAATATGATCACCACATGAACAATATTCTCCAAAATATAGAGTCATATATATCAAATTGTTCGCCTTGAAAAGGGGAACAATAACATGTTCTTAAAAATAGCATATGAAGTGCTAAACTGAAGTGTCCTCCAAAAAATTAAATAAATTTTACATCTCCAAGAGCAAAATCTGATAAAAAATTTTCTATGTTCAAATTATAGTCTGCACTAGCTTCTTCGGTCTCTCCAGCCTTCCAATATGTCAAGGAAACAATCTTTTGCTCTATTTGTTTACCACTTTTAGAAATGATTTTTTTAAAATACATCACATCTTGACCATCGACGTTCCATAAATGATGGAGTAAATAATTGGGACCTTTGCTAGCCATATTGATTTGTTAGTGATGTAAAAATTCCTGCAGTTTGGACTTTTGATCTTCTTCCAAATTTGAAAAGATGTCCAACTCAAGAATAGGTCCCTTTTGATATAAGACGTTCGAGATAAGTTTTTCAAATTTGGTGCGGTTAGCTTTTTCTCTCTTTCTACAAACATCTTCTTGCTTTCTCGCCAAGGCATTTTGCAGTGCGAATTGCCTTTGTTGAAAAAGCTGCCTGGACTTGGCCCCGTGTCTAACCGCATATTTTATCAATTTTTCCTGCTGAGTCTCAGTTTGATTGTTTAGCCATTTTATAGTTTTATTTTGGACACCTTGTACTTTTCCTCCAACAAAACCTATGGATTCATTAGGAGCCCTTCTCCACAGCGCATCAACAAGCCCTAAAGTGTGGTCTGCTAACATTTTATGCACTGGTGCTGATGATGCAGCCTTGAGTAGTTTATGAGTGGGCTCGGAAAGATCACCAGATAAATATCTTTCGAGTTGGCACCCTAGTTTTAGGCTAAAGGATGTGGCTAGAGCATGTATTGTTTTTAAAAGAAGATCCACATCTTTCCGAAGCAGATTTCTTTGTGAGGCTAGAGTGGAGTCGTCATCAGATAAAGGCTGTCCAAATACATCTTTTTAGAGGTCAATGCCAGCTTAGGAGCTCTTGTAAAATCATCTAGTTTAGACGTCAATGCCAGCTTAGGAGCTCTTGTAAAATCATCTAGCTTAGAGGTCAATGCCAGCTTAGGAGCTCTTGTAAAATCATCTCGAGACTTCATGCATTTGATCAAAATTCCATCTTTAACCTGCAAAATTTATTAATAACAGTTTGAAAAATGTAAAGGACATCAATATAAGAGTTAAGTATGTCTAAAGCAAAGTTGTCTTCATGAAGAATATTATTCGCTTCCTTTCATTGTTGTAGATTAGCACCATCCGTGGTCCAGTCAGCAGTTTGGAAAAAAGGCCAAGGGCTTGAAGATGTACCTGAACATGGGCATTCTTCAGGTCTTGTCGTATCATTAGACTAAGTGAATAAGTGTGTCCATATTTTTGCTCAAAATAATCAAGCAATTTATCTTTTAAATAAAAAATTGTTGCAGACATGCGAAACATTACACGAAGTTGATTGCCCACGTATCGAAGAGTGACTCCAGGTTTCAATCCTTCTTTTTTTTAAAAATGCCATGAAGCCTCCAGGGTCACCTGATCCTTGTTTATACCTGAAGACAAAAATATTAACCAATAACTAATTAATTACACCAATTTAATGCAGCTTAACATGTTAAAAACATACTGTTTACAGAGTCTTAAACTTAAGATACCTTACTCACCTCATTTTTGAAAAGCAGTGAATCAAGTTAGCAACAATGCCGCCATTCTGCTTATAGCCTGAGCTCTTCCTCCTCCACTCAGTTTCCAGTTTTTGAAGACAATCTCTAGCAGCATGGGCCAGGCCATCAAGGGGATTGAGGTTACAGTTAAGCTGTATTAATTGTGTTTGTAGATCATGCTCCAAGCGCTCAACTACACAATGGTTTACTTTTGCCCTGTCTGACATAGTGCTTTTAATGGATTTAAAGATGTGATTTTTAATGTCTATCTCTTGCAAAACATATGCCCAGGAATATACTTTTATTGAGGAGTGACTGGTATATGTGTTCAACATAATCTTCCGTGCATCCACCCGGCAAGTGTCCTATATGCATGGTTAATGCATGGGATTTTGTGTGAATGTGCACCCCATTAATGTGCGCTCCATTCAGGAAAGTGGCATCCCAAGCCAGAGTGATGGGGCTTGAATTGTGCAAAAAGTGGTCAACCTGAACATAAGCCAAAATACCTATTTCGTATGCCATTTGCGCAACAACAGTTTTCTCTAGCTTTGAACTTATGTTTTGCCCAAAAAGCTCTGGTCCAATAAAACTTATAAGAGGTGTGCAATATTGGATGGCAACATGATAACTCAAGCATTGGTAAATGCATTTTCTCATGTGGAAATTATATCACTTTCCATCTGCTTTGACGTCCACTGAGGCAGGCTCATTATTTTCATCTATTATGTCCTGAAATTCCTGAATTATTAATTGTCATTTCTGCCTCACTAAGAGAATCTTTCATTCGTTGCAAGAGCTGTTTGCGGATGTTTGCAAATGTTAATTTTGCTTTCCAGGAAGCAATAGCAGTGGCTGACCTGTTAAGACTGCGCTGCACCTTACTATGATATGATGGTCTTAATTTAGAAACTGTGCCTTTCTTATATAACTTATTTAAAGTTTCTTGCGAGTGTTTATTATTCTTCAGGCTCAGTGTTGCATTAGTTTTTCGTAAAAAATTTATTAATTAATGATTTTATTGTCGGATTAATGAGTAGGCCTATTAATAAACAGCCTTGAATCTTAAGATTTAGTCAACTAACTTTTAAGTGTAATTTAGTATAAGTAATAAATATACTAACTTTAAGTTTATTTAGGTGCTAGTAGTAGTAGGCAATAAGAGGAGAGACTGCAATCAGGTTAGTACAAAATAAAATGAGTAACCCTACTCTGTTTTACTCAGTAGTAGGCAGAGGCTACCATTTTGTCTTATGGGAAGCGTTATACGCAGTCGACTGGGAATTTAGCCAAATAAGGTTTATCAATCGCTTGTTTGGCAATTTAAAAAAAGTATTATGCGTAATGAGCCGCATGACGGGTTGTTTTGAACTAGAACTTTGAATGTGTTTAACGTAAAATTTTAATTGAATTAATTTTAATTATATTGAAATTGATGATAGTAGATAGCTATTATTTGTATTATTGCTTGTATCTTATATATTATAATTATAAGTATAAGTCAAAGTCTACATTTCTTAGAGTCTAAACCTAAGTCTTAGATTTTTTAAAGGCATTTCCATGGTCTAAGTCTAGTTATGTATTTTGATTGATTAGGTTTTTATATGTTGCTATGACTATGTGGTTGGTTTTACTGACTAATATGTCTTATCGGTACTTATCGTGAGTCATACTACCATAACGACATAATGATGAGTCTAAATTTTAAAATATTCAAGCAACTTTACCCCCACCACCATCTCTTCTAATAACTTAGACTAATAATATCTAAATAAAACTACATAAGTCAAAGTTAATACTTTTCTGTTATTTGAAATTGAATTAGTAAGCTACCGGCTACCGGCTACCGCAACCGCTACTACTACTACCGGCTACTTATTTTTAGGCTCCTGTCTACTACTACTTGAACCGGCTTTTATAGCCTAATCAAATAGGCCCTACACGTTCTTCCTGTAACTTTTATTTTACACATATTTTTTTGCCATAAAGAAGTTATTAAAATAGCTCATACTCATAGTAGTACTTATACTCATACATAGTCTTAGTAACGTTTTTGTTGTTTCAATTTTTCGACAATTACACACCACATTTACAGTTTCCGGTATTTCCATTCCATACAGTAGCGGAAAGTTTGATTTGTTGTTTTACTGAACATGCTAAGACTAACAGGCTAAAGAGACTAAAGTAAAGCGCTTATATTGGATAAGTGAAATTAAAATATAGCAAAGACGTTAAGAAATAATTTTGGTAAATAATTATGACTGTTTCGTTACTTTTTCAATCTGAAACTGTATAATTTATATTTTTGTTAACTGATTTTACTGATCATAATTTAATTAAAATTAGTCTAACTACTCTTTACCAAAACTAAAAGTAAAGTAACAAAACTAAGTCTAAGTCAAAAGCAAAAGATGAAACAGAAAAGTGAGTAGGCCAGCATCAACAACAATAAACTGTAAATTGTGAACGTATTTGTCAGGGCACATGTGTGAAGTTAAGTTAAATAAACTACTTATTAACTTAAACTACTAATATTAATAGCAATTCAGTTTTTCATTCATTTTCATAGTTTTCTTGCCACAGTGTGTAAATTCCACATGTTTTTACTTGCTGCTTTAGGGCTAGTTTTAGGGTTTCGGTTAGGTTTAGGGATAGATTTAGGGTTCAGGTTAGGTTTAGGGATAGATTTAGGGTTCAGGTTAGGTTTAGGGATAGATTTAGGGTTCAGGTTAGGTTTAGGGATAGATTTAGGGTTCAGGTTAGGCTTAGTTTAGGGATCAATTTAGAATTTAGGGAGTCCTATAGGGTCAAAACCCTGGTTCCGATAGGGTGGTACCGGTACCAAATTTTTTTGTTAAACTGGGGAGGGGTCTCCCCTCCCCAGAGAATTTCAGTTTCTTATTTTGGTATTTAAAGCGAGTTGGGAGACCCCATTTCCTAGTAGATCATTCCAAATACAGTTTTTCACTACTTTTTTGGCCGCCATCTTGGTTGACACTTCACATGACTTCACGTGTCGTGTCAACCAAGATGGCGGCCGTCGATAAAATAATGGCATTCATCCTCAGAATTTACCCAGTTTTAGTTTTAATTTATGGAAAATAGAACCTTTTTTTAGACGCTTTTGTGACAACCAACAAATCTTTGCATAGCGGCGAGTGGTAAGTTGAATAGTTTGCTAGCCATTCTTGTGTTGAATAAGTTAAATAAAGCATAGGCCCTAGGTCACTTTGTGAAAGTGGGTTGATTTTTGTTTTTGGGTTAGCGGTAAGCCTGGCGATGTGTTCCACTGCATAGGCATAGGCCTATAAAATTAATGGTCACAGAGTTTCCCCCCAAACCCCAGGGCAACTTATTCAAAAGATTTGGATATTTATGTTTGTGTTCACTTTATGCAAGATTTTGTTTTATATTTTTAAAATTGAGGTCTTCCCTCCCCAGAAGATTTCTATTTTCTTATTTTGATATTTAAAGTAGGAGAAGGTGTCTCCCCTCCCCTATCCCCAGAAGATCATTTTGCACAGTGCAAACTAATGAATGAAACTCTGAGATGTTTCACATGGAAAATTATGATAATTTATAATTTAGACTCTACAGGGTTTTTAACCAGAAGAGAGTTAGTTATCACACACATCGTTCAGGTCATACAATTGGTCTAATCTCTCTAAACCAGTGTTGGGATTTCCCAAAGTGATGTCACTGTGCTTAGGGTGAGACTACTCTTGCCAAAATCCATACAATTAACCCAAATTTACAGTGAAAGTGTGGGTATCATGGGCACCACCTTGTTGCAGTCTTTGAAAACATATTGGATTATTTGAGGGCATGAAGTAGGATGAAGTAGTTGTCAAAGTGCATACCCCATTTTTGAAAGTGCATGCTGCATACACTATCAAAAGTCTTTGAGCAAATTGTGGAAGGAGGGGGATAACAATTAATGGGTTATAATTATATGCAGTATCCTGAAAATTCTGCTTGAGCCAACCTTGAAACTGCGTTTTTTATTTTGTTTTTGATCTTGGTGCCCCAAATAAATTAAAAAATTGAAAACCATTGTCTACTCCTGAGAATCAATCCTTATGTAGGCATATCGACTATTTTAATCTTTATTTGACCAGAATAGCCCAAAATTTATAATAATAAACAACTATAAAGTTTAAACTATCTTTTTATTTTATGAATTAAGCAATAGATTTTTTTGGTAATGTTTTGTTAACCCCCCCCTTTTTTTAAATTTTATTTAAAAAATAGCTATGTTGATGAGAAAATAGGGATCTGGCAGCTTTCTCAAGGAGACAATGGAGTCACATTCAATTCTAAATGGTAAAATTGTTGATATTAGATATTTTACTCGTCTTCTTACTACTACTACTACGATACATCTCTTGTAAATCTCTGCCAACTGCTATTTCATGTAAGCAGGACTTTGCTCTAGTTTGTATATGTAATACTCGTTTCCTTTTTTGAAATAACATTACTTGAAAAAAATAAAAGCATGCTACCAATAAATGAGTTATGTTCATGATGATTTATTTCCTAAATGCTTAATTCATGTAGGTGTAGTTGGGTACGTTGAAGTGCGGAGCAGCTATGACAATCGTAGTGCAGCAATTGCCAAGGAAATGGAACAATTGGGGGCGAGAGTCCTGACAACATTTACTGATGATGTCACACATGTGGTTTTTAAAGAAGGTCTGAAGCGTACATGGAACAAAGCAATGAAGCGTGGAATTCCTCTGGTGTCTGTTTCTTGGCTTGACAGGTTGGTAGATGACATCTCATGCTCTTGTTCTTTCTTAAAATGATAAATTTATGTTACAAATTTATGATCATTATAAAATAGATATATATGGCTTTTAAAAGTTTGTAGTTAATTACCCAAACTCTAACAAATTTATCAAATTCTCTAAATTAGACGTTATAATTAAATTATATAGAAACCTAATAATGAAAAAATTCAAACTTTTGTAAGGCATAATTTGATTGGATTTTCTTTTGTAAGGCATAATTTGATTGGATTTTCTTTTGTAAGGCATAATTTGATTGGATTTTCTTTTGTAAGGCATAATTTGATTGGATTTTCTTTTGTAAGGCATAATTTGATTGGATTTTCTTTTGTAAGGCATAATTTGATTGGATTTTCTTTTGTAAGGCATAATTTGATTGGATTTTCTTTTGTAAGGCATAATTTGATTGGATTTTCTTGCTCAAAATTAAACTCTTGAGTACCTTTTTGAGAATCTTGACTAAGAGATACAGCTAACAGCTACTTAGTTGATTATACGATTATTAGAATTTAGATACAGCTAACAGCTACTTAGTTGATTATACGATTATTAGAATTGTTTATTTTTTTGCCATCCATTTCGTTTATATTTTTAATATCTTCATCACTATTTTGATATTCCGAGATCTGATAATTCATGTGCACCTTTGTTACATTAAAGCTGTAAACAACACCAACAACGTGTGCCAGAGAAAGAATTTCCTGCCCTAATACCAGAAGACAACAGTGGCAGTCCACTACTGAGATTTAACCCAGCCCCCAGATGGAAAGTAAAGTCAATTTAATTTTTTTTAAACAAGTATAAGATGGATAATTTTATAGGTTCCAAAAAGTAATTCAAAATGAACAAATCTATTAATATAATATATAAATAGTTTTTTTTGCA